CAATAATGATAATAATTAGTGTTTTTTTTTTTTCTCTTGATTTAAAGGAACGTGTAGGATATCTATTTTATCATATAATAAACTGCAATAACACTAAATTGCAGCAGTGGGTGTAGTAGAGTTAGAAAAAGAATACCAAAAATGCTATTATTTGTCAACTTCATAAAAGCTAACAAATATTGGTACATTCATATTGGAAAACATGTTTTCGTTAAAAAAATATCACACAAACTAAGCCATAATCAATTCTTCATTTCATTCCCGAGATTTCCTATATCGATGAAAATATTGTTCAGTATTTCAACATATGTTGCTGTTGCTGTTGCTGCTATTACTATAAGCATTGAAAAATGTCATAAGCATAAATAAAATTTCAGGTGAGATTTCGTGGTGACATTGTCGTCAAGCATTTCTGCTCTCCCCATTAGGTTATCGATAATTTAGGCTTTCCTTTCTCTCCCTTTTTCTCTCTCTCTCTTTCTCTCTTTTTTCTTACTAAGCCAGACTTTCTCGGTTTACTTACATAAAACAACCTTCCCAATCTTCTTTGCATTCCTTCTACATCCTTTTTCACTTCCTTTGCATTATTTTTCAATTTCATATACCAAAAAATGACTTTCTTTTTTTCCAGTGAGTAAATATTAGATGAAATTATTGATCGAATCATTAGGTAAAATTATTAATTAAATCATTATTTGAAGTTATTACTTTAATAATTACGTGAAATCACTTTCTTTTTCAGTGCTAAAAGTAATTAAATGTTGCATGAAATTATTGTCAACTGAAAATTGTATTTGACAGAAAAAGAAAAGAATAATAAAGTTACGATGAGTGTAACACCACGTAATAGCAATAAGAAATTCGCCGGACGACAGAAAACTTTTTTATCAAATCCGCCAAGTAGTCGAGCATCAATAATTGCTGGAGCTATCAAGGTATTTATTCCATTTTATTTTCTAAAATTTCGGTAGGCTATTTGAAATTTCAACAATCTCTCATCCTTTTTGATACATTAATTAATTGATATATGCATAAATATACAATCACATCAAAAAATAGTACATTTAAATTTCTGGATTGAAAAACTCGATGATAAAATAAATTATGTAGAAATGTGTATTTATGGTTTTTGAATTAAAATAAATTAATTATAAAATGTTATTAAAGAATATATTGGTAGAAGTAATTAACAAATATCTAGAAAATCATTGAATGATTGTAGAATCAGATGAAAAAGAATTTTAATGTTTAAAATTTAATCATTAACTGATATTTTTTTCAGACTTTTATTAATTTAAAAAATTTTTGAAAAAAACCAGATAAAAGAGAATGAAAAGTTTTCGAAATTAAATTACAGCATAAATTTCATCATGATTTTAACCAACGTCAAAATTCTGGTCTAAGTACTCCATTATTGAAAGCAAAACTTGCTGGATATTCACAAGAAGAGTTAGAAGAATATCGTCAGGTGTTCAATGTATTTGATACAGGTTACTTTTTGATGGCTATAACATTCAAATGTTTTAAAAAATGCATGAAATTTGGCAATGTTTTATAATTTTTTTTTAATTAATTTGTTAATTACTGAACAGTTTACCGTAAGATTTCATGAAGTGAAAGTTAGCAGTAAGCGCAAATGTATCATTGTGGAATGCAATGTTTTGATGTTAATTTCAGATGGTAGTGGTGCAATTGGTATTGATGAATTGGAAAGTGCGATGCGAAATTTGGGTTTAGAACCACAAAAAATGAGCTTGAGCAAATAATTGAGGAAGTAGATCAGGTGTGATTTTACTTTAATGAATTAGTGAAACTTGTTGAATATTTCCAAGAAGAGTTAGAAGAATATCGTTAAATGTTCAATGTGTAAATGGAATTCTAATATATGATTACAGCTTTTTTCAATTAAGAATTCAAAAATCTTTCCAGAAAATGATTAAGATAATTAGTGGTTATTTTGATAACCTATAACCCCTAAATGTTTATAGATGGGTAATCATGAAATTGATTTCCATGAATTCTGTGATGTAATGAAACGAATGAGTGAAAAACAAACAGTTGGAATGATGTGACACGAGAATGTTTTGCTGTTTTTGACAGAGTAGGTAATTAAAAAGTTATTGAAAAAAAAAAAAAAAGGTACAAATGTGAAGCCCATATCCTACAAACAAAATAAACAAACGTAATAAACGTTTAACTTATCAAACAAATTGAAGCAATATTTCTTTGTTTATGCATCATTTATCTCATTATCATTAGTCTATCAGTAATTTTTACAAATTAATCTATTCATTTTATCGTATGCTTTCAAAATTTTTTCAAAAATTAAACAATACAGAAACAAAAATATAGCATACCTGAAACATAATTATCGATTATATAAGTCTGTATCTGTTTATAAGCATAGTTTCAACTACATTTCGGATATTTCTTTCCGAATATCTCTTTCATACCTTATATAATCCATTTATTAAACATTTAATTTATCAAATAAATTGAAGTAATATTTCCTTATTTATGCATCATTTATCTTCTTATCATCAGGGTGAAGGTGGCGTTGTATCAAAGAAAGATTTTCAATACATCCTCACTGAATTAGGTGATATTCGTAATAAAGCAGTGATTGATGAAATATTCGCTGAAGCAGATGTTGATGGTGATGGTGTTCTTGATTATGATGAATTTGCATTTATGGTACGAAATTATATGATTGATGAAGATTTGGATACATGCAAATGTCTTTGAAAATAAATATGTTTGTAAAAATATGAAAATGAATTTGATACAATGAATAAAGAAAAAAAGAATATTGTAAAATTGAAATTGTAATTTTTTTGATTTAATTGAAATGATAACATGATAATTTGATAATATTTAAATAATATAAGAAGAAAAGAAAAAATTTAATATTCTTTTTTCTAAAATAAACAAATGAATAAAATTCAAAACAAAATATTATGAAATTTAATAATTTTCTTGTCAAAATTACCTCTATAAATAAAATTCAAATAAAATTCAAAACAAATAATAAATAAAATTCAAAACAAAATATTAAATTCATCTTTATAAAACTATTTTCATTTCATTGAACAAAATGATTTATTCAAATTCTAAATTCTATTACGATTCTAATACAACAAGTATCAGTCAATTAATGAATGGCGAAAATTTTCTACAAAGAAACAAATCCAGTCTTAAATTATTCCATCTATTTTGAGCATTACATTCATTTATATCTATTTATCCGATTAGTTATAAACTTTTAAAAGTAATTTATCCATATGAGAACAAATTTATTACAATTCTTGAATATTGGCTTGTTGTTATTATTGTTGTTATTGTTGTTGTTGTTGTTGTTATTGTCAACTTGAATAAACTAGTTCTTTTCTATCAGATTAAATAATGTTTTCCTGATTTATGTCCTCATTTGAATAAAATTTTATTGGCAGTTTTGCATACGATTTTCTACAAAGAAATCAATCCAGTCTTAATTTTTTTTCTCTCTTTAATGATATTTTCGCTTTTTTTTTCCTTTCATTAACGAACTAAAATTTCCCATATTCATTTAATGAACTTTGGTTTTTCATCTAATTAACTCTTGCAACTGATCATTTCAATATGCTATGATAAGTGATAATATAATCTTCTCAGCTATAGAGGAAAGGTTATAACAACTGATAAAATTAACATCAAAATTCAACAAATATAATTTATTTCTTGAAGACTGAGTAAAGTAAGCAATTGAAGGCAAAAGCCTTTGCTTTTTATT